AAAGGTTGGAAGCCCCTGGCGTTTCAAAATAATTATAAAAAATATTTGAGCAGTTTGTATAAATTCAATATGTATAGTTTGACTATCTAAAATTGTTACAGGAAAATTAGCCAGATCAATAAATTATAATAACAGTGAAGTATTTATAAAGAGTTTAATTAAAAAAAAAGGGGGCGCTGAAAAACTTAGTTGGAAATCACTGGTATATCGAAATAATTATAATTTTTTTTTTTTGAGAAATTTGTATAAATTCAATACAGTTTGCATAGTGTTAAATATTAGTGGTTGGTAGATATGGTTTTTCAGTGATTATTTTTACATGATTAAAAATTTATTTATATGAACTTATAATATTATTATTTGTTAGTATCTAAATATAAGTTTATGTATTTATGCTTTAGGATAATTAGGCCACGATTATTATAAATGAAAGAAATTATTTATGTAAAGAAATATAAATAAAATATATAAAAACAAAGAAAAATTGAAGTTTACTATCTAAAATTGTGAAAAGAATAGTATTATAAATAAATAGTAACATCAGTTGATTCATCCTGTTAGAAAATTTGAGGGCGCAAAAATGTTTTTAATGTGGTGCGGTACTAAATAAATAAATTTTGGGCAGTTTATAAAAAAAGGGAGTATACAAAAAGTTCATAAAAACCTAATATATGTTGTTTTCCATATTGTTAATACTAAAGTTGACTATCTAAAATTATGAAAAAAAAAATCCTCAAAATGTAAATTCTAAATAATATATTTTTCTGGTCTTTTTATTTAAAACAAAGACAAGACAGGAATATCATGATCAGAACATTTATTGAATAATATCATGAACAAAATTCAAAATGACGTTCAACAGCAACAAGGATAAATTTTCCCGCCTTTTTGAAACAGCTGTCATTATAAACAAAAAATTGCTGCATTTGAATTAATGACATATCTTTAACTAAAATTAGATAATTAAAAGTACTAATAATAGTAACATGGATACAATATAATGAATATTGAAAAAAAAATAGAATATTAATGAAAATAAGTACGTTTTTTCAACATTTCTGTAAAATGCTTAAATGTTTATTTACCTTCAAATTGACAGCTGCAAGATACCAAAATGATCAACGGATAAAATAAATTCATTTAACAACCAAAACCAACAAAGCTGGAAATTTTGTAAGCGCAAACGCTTAAAAATATGTGTTCACTTCTCTCACAAATATTAACGCAAGACATTTGTCATTTTGCCGCGCACTTTCGCAATCCAAATAAATAAGATGAAACAAATGTAATTTTAAAATATGGAGTTGTATATTGTGATGCGGTTTCTGCGCGTTCGACTAAAAAGAGTACAACAGCGCGTCATGCATGAAACAAGGTTGACGTACGATCTGCAATCAAAAGCTTAAAGCTATGCCGCCGCCCGAGAAACCAACTATCCGACGGACATTGAAATACACGGTAAAGGACACAAAATTACACCAAAATTGTAAAAAAAATTAAAGGAAATTTGTTGAATGGTAATTTTAGCACAATATTGTTGTGTTAGGTGTGTTGTACACGCTACACGCACGAAATCTATACAAGCCAGTTGTCTGTCACGAAACAATCAACTACCGTCGGTAGCCATTTTGAATATATAGAAACATTACATTTGATTTGTACATTTAGCGTCATTAATTTTAACTTACATGTGCGTTAACTATCCTCAGTATCCTTTTTATTAGCTTCTTGTCAATTACAAATAACAAAATCCACATAAACACATATATGTAAGTTTTAGCGACGGTCACTGTTTATTACCAATATATTAATTTTTATTCCTTTCACTCACTTATGTTAATGTTAAAAATTCACTTCGAGTTACAAACGTGCGTTAATAATTTCAATTCGATTAATGTACATAAATGAAACAATTAATAATAATATATATAGCACAACGCACAACATAGACATTAACAAAGGTAGACTGACAAAATGGTACAAGATGAAAAGGCGCGCGCAACTCTCCGTCTCTTTTCCCCTCGCGCCCCACTAATATACACGTATTTCCGTTTAGTCGTCCATTTTGACATGTTAGGTAATATAATATAATATTAATTGTACCGCTCGGCGGAGTTCATTTGATATACCGTGTTATGTTTTGATTTATGAGATTGCGCAATATAAACAAAATAGATAACATATCAACGAAACCATTAATTTAATTCAATTCGGAATTGAGTTTTAATAGACTTTGAAGGACGTCAGTAATGAGTTTATTAATTCAATTATAATGTTACCAATTTTTTGTTTTGTAAATTAAAATTTACTTTGTAGCTCTTCAGGAACAATGTGTGAAATAATAAAAATAATTTTAAAAATCATTCTGCTTTAATTTATAAAGTATTCTAGTCGTTCAGTGGACAGTTCAGATCTAACTAATTTTTATACTTTACTTTTTTATAATTTTCTTATACATATTTCTAGGTTATGATAATTAGTCCAGGATCCAATGGTTCCATTACCCCCATTCGTTATGATTATCTGTTATATATTAAAAGAAATACATAATTCTCAACAACTAATGCAAGCATTGAACTATTAATAACCAAATAAAATATAAGTGCTTGTATATATAATTACATTCACTTTGGTTTTCTCAAAGAAGAGAAATTAATCAAATACGGTTTCAGAATGTAGTCATTCACTTCACTATTTTTTAATTATTCATACCATATTGATGATAAGATGATATATCTTATATATTTTTTCGCAAAACAAATTTTTATATATTTTTAATATGTATGATATTCAAATTTAGTTATTTAAGTCAATTCCTATGTTATCTCTCTTCGTTTTCACTATCAACATGACCTTAGTGGCTAATTTAACAGCCGCTAATTGTAGTAGTATTGATCATATCCAAACACAAAGGATTGTTCATATTTCAATTTTTTCTTGAAAAGTTTCAAGTCAAATATGATATTTATTTGATGTTTTACTTCAGTAAACTCCCGAAGAATTTTGCTCGAGATTTAGCAATGCATTAGATTTAACTTCTATTTGAATTGTGTTGCTACAATCGACTTTTGCCTCTATTTCAGTCTTAAAAGTTTGTAATTGAGTTTTAACTAAACCTCATAATATCAAATCAAAATTTCTTAGTTACACCAATACTTTTATTCCAGGAATTGTTACAAGTAGCTTCATTCAATTGCTTTCCATTTATATTATCTTTGAGCAAATTGAGACTTGAGGGCTTTTTGTATTTTTATCTTCTCTGATAATTTCTTCAGGAATAATAAACTTGTTTGTGTCTAATCCAAAGTTTACTGATTTGATTATTTTTAATTTTTCCTATTTAAGCATTTTTTTTTGGTAGTGTAGTTTTTTTGTTTATAATACTCCTATGGTTTAAGTCCTGTAAATTTAAGCAATTCAATTTTGTTCTGTTTTCTAATTGTTTTATGAGATTATTTGCTTCTTCATCTTTTATTTCTTGTTCTTTTCCTTAAGCCTGCTCCCCTACTCTTTTTATTGCAATTTTTGGTCTATTTTATTTATAAAATTCTAGTGGCACCACCAGCTTCAATTTTGTAGTTTGTATTTCTAAGATTGGTCTTAAATGATGAGTCTCGCAAGCAACTTATGCACTTAATATAGTACTTATAAATCCTCATACTCATAATCTTAATTTTCAACATTTCACTTTCATGCAATGAATTTTTTGCTTTTATAAATGTATTTGCGATAGGTAGTACATTTCACACAGAATTCAGTACCTTTTGGTTTATGTATGTTATCATAATGTGAAGTGTATAAAATATTGATCATATTTCTCAACTTCAGTAAATGTTTTGTAGATCCACCATGTGCAATCATAAATATATATAAAGTTTCTTCTTTAAAAAAAGATGTCTTCTATTACCTCTTTATAGATATCTAAATTTTGCTAGTATGCTAAGGCAATTATGTTATATAGAAAATAATAGATTCCACATTAAACATAATAAGCAATAATCTGATTTCACTCTAGTAAAAATTTATATGAAATTAAATACATGCAAATTTAGTTATTCAACAAAAATATATTTATAACAAATATTTCACTCCAAATTCACAGTAAATTATGTACATTTTTGGTATTATAGGATCAATAATGGACTAAATTTGAAATATCATGAATCTTTTAAAATAAAACATGTTTCAAAGCAATTGTTAATTATAGCATTATAAAAATACAAAATATATTATTTATTATTTAATGAATTAATAATTGCATTTATGGTATAAAGTGCATATTTCTAATTAAAATGCAATCTACATTTTTCTTATTGAACAATTTTTGTACTTTTCTGATATGATTAGAAGTCACGTTATTTGTGTTAACATTTACCTCAAGGTTTAAATGCAGGCTTTCCTTCGAAAGTACATCCAGATCTTTGAATAACTTCAGAAGCACACCAGATTCCACATTTTATACAAACATCATAAGGTTGACACTGTACAAGTTGGGCTAGAAAACCTCCCGTGAAAGCATCACCAGCCCCATTAGTATCAATAATCTGTTTTGGATCAAGTTGTTGAACAGGATATTCTTTCACTTCGCCTTGACCATCAGCAAACAAGACAGGGTCCTTGCCTTGACTAATCACAACGACACGTGGACGCCTAATATTTTTCTTTGGTAGTTTACTTATTTTTTGAGCAATTTCTTTTAAGTTCTCTGTGCCGAGGTTTTGCTCCTTTGCAAATGTTAGGGCTTCCTAAAATTTAAAATGGAATCAAGACAACAATAACTGGAATAAATTTTTATATTTTCCTGTTAAACTTACAGTTTCATTTCCAAACAAAACATCAACATATGGCATTGCATTCATAAGTGGCTCTTTGAAAAATTGGCATAAAAATGGAGCACTGAGATTCATCACAAACATTTTATTTGTAGTCAAGCAGTGTTCTGCGAGTGTTTGTATTATCTCAGGGTTAACTGTCAAAAAGTAACCCTAAAAAATTCAATAAATATCATATTTGACTTAAAGCTGTCTGATAAAAAATTAAAATACCGAAATATAAACAATTTTGGATTTTTCTATGACTTCCTTGTTTTCTGGTTTTTGAATATGATCAATAGTAGTACAATTAGCTGCTGCTAAATTAGCTACTAAAGACCTGTTAGCACCAGTAATTAAAACTGCGCAAGTTCCAGTTGGTTCTTTATCAGTAACTTGGTAAAAAACATTTACACCATCTGACCTAACATGATAATAAATTTCATTACTATGTTTATATTAGAATAATGATTTCATGATGTATATGTATATACCTCGCCTTAGCTTCTAAAATTTTTGCATTTTCATCATTTCCCACACAACCAAAATATGATGCTACATTAGGTACTTGTAAAATCCATTGGGCAACCCGTACAGCATTTTGAGCACTACCTCCAGCAATAAACTCCGATTTATATTTGTCAACTAATTCTTTATATCTAGAAATAGAGCATAATGAATCATATACAGTTTAAAATACAACTCATAATATTTACAATGGCATATGCTTTTCTTCAGCTAATATGGCATCATCTGGTTTCAAACCATATTTAGTCAGTAACGCCTCATCAACAACAGCAGATATATCTAAAAGGGGATTGCCTATTCCTAGAAGTGCTCCTTCACTGAAACATATATCATAAAACAATTATGAACCTGTATTGGATTCTTATCACCATAATCTATATTGAAAATATTTAAACATAGAAAGGTTATCAAAGGTCATCAAAGTCTTGTTATAAAACTTATAATTGTAAGAGTACTATAAATATCTATTTTCAATATGAATAAGTTATTCATCCTAGAATCTATATTTTAAATTTCAAATTAGTTGAAGATCAAAAGTACATAGATAAAGACACAAGTATGTTATTGGACAAACAGAGACATATGTATTAAAAATATTTTAAATATTAATTTCGAATATGTTATGTAGACTGAAGAAAAATATTTATTTGGAAAAGAACTAGTACTTCATTATATTAGTGACAATTTTAGCAACAAGTTAATAAATATTATTTTAAAAATAAAAATTAATGATTATTAATGAATAATAATATATTATTACCTGACTTTAGCCATTGTAAAATACAGAGATTCCGAATAACAATATTAAAATTAAATACAAAAATGAACTATTTGTGTAAATAACCTAAAAAATCACATTTAATTTAAAAGCACAGTGTTGCTATCCGCTGACAATGTCAAGCAATGATATTAACAAATGTGTGAAGTTTGTTGACAGTTGAAGAATTTCAAAGGAAGCCAACATGACAAAAATAGCATCTTGAACGTTACCGCTAGATTTAAATTTAAAAATTTGACATAAATATTACTCTTTCAATAATTTATTATTTATATAAAAATAGATGAATTTATTTTGAAATTATTATATAGTTCATTTTAAATTTTATTTTGATTTTGATATTTTCCTTTCTTATATCAAAATATACTATTTTGATATAAGAACATTTTAACAAAATTTTATTTTTGTCATTTTATATCAATTAATTAATTAATTTGTTTTATTTATAATATAAACACAATTATTGCAATATTATATTTGGTGAATACTAATCTTTAAATATTTATTTGAAATTACAATGTTTAAAAAAAAACACAGCATTACAAAAGAATATTACAATAATGCAATAAAGGTGTATAATGATGAGATTATGTATCTGCGAATTTCGCCAAATTATGAAAACTTCTGTAAATAAATATTCAGAAAACCTGTTTTATGCATAAATAATCACATTGCATGAATAAATATATCAATTAAAATACCACGTGTGTTTTGAAAACAAGATCTGGTTAATCAAGTTTTTTTTATGCAATTCAATCTGTTTGTCTTCGAAACTAACAGATGCAGAATTAAAACCAACATTTTAGTAGGAAATATAAATGAAATCCTCAATTTTTCAAATTAATAATAAATATAATTACATAACGATATTATTTTTAATAATTAATGCTTGTATTTGAGTAAAACTCTAATGTGTAGGTTGCTTTTATTAGTTTTGTACTTAATTTTCAAACAACAAACAGTTAAAAATATCTTCTTAATTGATAAGAAAAACAAATAAAGAGTTTACATATAGATTTGTCGTGAAGGTGTGGAAAAAGTTTACTTCAAACTTACATACAAGTCATATACTAACTTATATTACATTGTAATTTAAAATATAATACGAAAAAACATTGTTATAAAAATTAATTTCTTAGAAAAATTGAGCCTTTCTTAAAAAATGATTTCTAAATATGTCTTTATTTTGCTTCGACAAACAATCGATCGTAGGTCATTTTTTTATTTATAAATGTAAATATAGAGTATAAATATAAATATATACAAAATGTAGATATAAAAATTTACTGGGTTAAAACAATGTTAAAATTACAAAAAAACACAAAATGTTGATATTGCTTCTATTTGAGTAGTAAATAATTTAATAGTGATTTTCATGAAAATATTGAAAATTTGTTTGTTTTTCATGTAGAAAAAAGGCTGTGATCGAAGACCTAAGGACATATACATTTAATTTTCTTCAAGTAAAAATTTGATCCAAATAATGTATCACACATAGTTATCTATTTACCATAAGCATAAAAATATATTTTTCTTTACTAACTTCCCAAAGAAGTTTGTTTTCGCCAAGAAAATTTGATTTGCTAATTTACCCCCATACATCATGGGTATTTTTAATATCTAGATTTTTTTTATTTTTGTGATTTCTGAAAAGTTTTGGATTTCATTTTAATTTCAAGAAACAATTAAATACACTTGATATCTTACTAAACTCCCTCTCTCCATGGAAAATTTTGTGACTCTTTTTCAAATCATTTTTTAAGTATCACGTGCCTTAAGGAAAAATTCCACTCGCACCCAGTTTTGACCAAATTCAAATCGGGTATTCAAACTAGTTGAATTAAAAAAACTAAATTCTTTCCCCAAAAGCAATCGTTTCGTGAACACAAGCAGAAAGTTTTTTGAATCATTCAAATCGGATACTTAGTTCTCTCAAAAACTGCAATTTTTTGTACATTTAGCTCCGCATCTCCGGAACGGTTGGACCTGCCTTTGCCAAAAACTAATCATCACTTCTTCCAATCATTACATATTGAATGTTTTTGGAACATTCAAATCGAAAGCTCCGTTTTCTTAAAAACTCAATTTCTATTTTCTGCACTCTTTGCTCCATTACTTCGAAACGGCTGGACCGGCCTTTGCCAAAAACTAATCAGCACATCTCCCTATCAATAGGAATCGAATGTTTTTTGAATTATCCAAATCGGTTGATCCGTGATCCCGAAATCGTCGACAAAGTATTGTATCTTGTATACACACATACACACACATCAATTTTCTCCAAGGTATGCCAAAATGTTCAAAAACCTCTTAAACTTGAAAAAATGTAACAATTTTCAATTTAAATTTTTGGACGATTACAATAACTTACTCTTCGGGAAGTTAATAATGACTGGAAGAAGGGGGGTAATATCCTAATTGTTAAACCATTACAATTATTCCTATCACTTATTATTATCATTAATATTGAAGATTGTATCTTCGAGTTTACCCTAACGAGTGCAGTAATTATTAGGTCGCCGGTGGAACGGTGGTAATGCTTGCTTGCTATGTGGATTTTAGGACACCGTTATCAATCGCGACGTTTTCAGGTAATTTAAATACAAACTTGATTTTATATTCTTGATATGAGTTGAAAGTCAGGTTTGTGTATAATATCATACGATCGAATATATTTGCGCCAGTCATCAAGGAACTACATTCTTAAACGCATTACTGCGAATTTACTGCTCTCGTGAGCTAATCAAGGATTTATAAGTGAAAAGTGAAAATTGATAAAGTTTGGAAATATCAGAAATGGCTAAAGAAACCAAGGTAAATGAATTCAACTGATATCTGTATTTTTACCATTAATTTGACCGAATTTGATATATTGCTATTTAGTAATATAAATTATTAGATCGTTAGGTTTAACTGATTGCACTTAAAATATATTTAACTTTCCGAAGGAGATGTTTATGTTTTCGCCAGAAAATCCGATTTGCTAATTTTATGTTTGAGGCCAAATTTGGATAAAGTGTGTATGTGTGCTTGAGTTAGAAAATTGTGACTAGATAAATAAGTATTGTCTATTAAGGATTGTGACTTTTAACCGTTTTCTTGAAAACGGCTGCACCTAGATCAAAAATTTCAAAGACATTTCATTAAATCCGATAAATATTGGCGTGTTTTAATTTTGCGAGATAATTAGCCCAGCAGTTTCTTTACAATTGGCAGATAGAGCAAAATTTGTCGTCCATGTTTTCTCTAAAAATCCTGAACCGATTTTGAAATTTCCAATACCGTTAGAAAGATAGTGCTGATTACTTTTAGATAAAGATCGGCAAGCCGTTTCTTCGTAATTGTTGCATTTTTTTCCTTTTTTGGGATAATTTAAATTATTATTTATAATTATATAATACTGAATTTTGATGTAACTTTGTACGATGATAAAGATCATAGTCACCCAGTAAGCACGTGATGTTGTAGCAATATTCTATATAAATCCCTGCCAACATCCTCGCTGTGACAATAAACCAACGTGGTGTAGATGTTCGTTTAAAATTGCAATTGTGACATACCGATCGGTCGTTTTTTATGAAGGATGTCAAAAGCTATATTTATATTGAGATAGAACCGTTACATCAAATTATCTTATATTTTAGAAACTTTAATAATAAGTATACCATTTGTTAACATTTCTAAAGTTTATCCGTTATACTGCGGCGCGGCGCTTACGCGCTTCGGTATTTTTCCTCTGAAATAGCCGCGTAGCATGATTGCTTTGAAAAAATTCCAAATTAAAAAAAAAAATCGAGGCAAAAAAAATCAAATTTTTCAAAAAAGTCAATTTTTTTTTAAAAATTCTCAAAAATCTCATTTTTTCAAAAAATTTTATTTAAAAAAAAATCAAATAAAAATCGAAATTACGTACTAATCATTTTGATCTCTGTTAAAATTATTTCAATTTAATAAATGTTCAAGTATAAATAAATAAAAAAAAAACAAGTATTGCCCGAAATGCTTCTACTGATGGCGCGAGGTTTGAATAGAAATGCTCAAAAATAATTTTTTATCCGCAAATATATATTTTTAATAATCTAATCATAAACAAAATATTTATCAAAAGATGCTTAGTTCTAATTCTATTTGTTGTTTGGAATAAATATCAAATATTAAATGAATAACTTTTGAATTTTGTGAATTTGCTATGCACGAAGCAATGATATATGGTAACACTACTGTGGTACAGGAACAGTAGGATTATCTAGGATTAAAGATGGCCGGTTGTCAACAAAGGGTGTTTGTGCTTTATCTTGTTAGTAAACTTAGCATTGAAATAAAATGGAAAAGTAAGTACATCATATATATATATATATATAACTATATTAATTTATCTATAGTATTTTATTTAACGTTTACTTAACTTGATATTTGTATGGTATTATGAAAGATATTTGAACGATGCGTCAAATGAAGAGGTTAGCAAGAGCACGCCGCTGTATTGTCATAGAAAAATGATACTGAAGATATAAATCCAGTCAATTTTACAAGATCAAACACATGATGATATTTGGGATCATTTCGTGAAGATTGATGGTTCAAAATAATGCATTCGGAGTTCATCCCGCTTGTTAAATTTGTGGATGAATTACAGTCACTGAAGATGGGGACTAGTCTTGAATTTGTAAGTCTTTTGAACTATATTTATATATATATACATATATATATATATATATATATATATATATAACATTTTCTAATACATACATATTATGTTCATTCTTTTAGAAAATCTTCACATATAATGAAGTGCGATGAAACGGTAGTGAGATGAGACAAGTCATATTCTTTTTTGCCCTAGGAGCACATGGCAGATCTTAGAAGTTACTTTAGTCAAGACAATATTTGAGGAGTACAATTGTAAATAGGTCAAGACTAGAGAATGATATAGGTTCAGAAATTATATCTGTTCCATGTACAGTAGAAACTCGTTTACCCGGCTTTCGGTTATGCAAACTACAAACCACGAGCAATTTATATATACATGCAAATATTCAACTTGCACATACATACAAGTTTATAGGTTTTTAGTATATGTATGTTATGTAATCTAAGAAAATATATATGTACATTTGTAAGAAAGTGTTTCTTAATAAACACTATTTTTGTTGTTGTCTATGTATGTACTTGTTATTTTTAATAAATACACAACATAATTCTTAATACATTCGATTATCTGGATTTTTGATTAGCCAAATGCCTATTGACAACAATTAGTCCTGTAAATCGAGTTTCTACTGTATAAGTAATTCCTCAAATATGTACAAAAATTTGTTATATATAAGATTACACATTGCTGTTATATATATATATATATATATATATATATATATTTATATATATATATATTAAGATTGAGTAATGTGCATCATTATATAAATATAAATTATTATTTTATTTATAATTGTAAATTAGGATTTATGTTATTTATGATTGTTTTAAAATAGAATTATCTGTAAACGTTTGTCATACCAATTTGTAATCTTTCAATAATATGTAATTATTATAAATAAATAAATGCTTTTCTAATAAATTGTCTATTAATTTTATAAAAAAATTATGCATGCATTTGTACTAAAATTGGATATTGCTAAGATGTCGTACGGTGGTCGCGAGTGAGATATCGCGATGCGATGTCAATTCAAGTGTAGGATCCATCTCAATAACACATTCGTGACTACGACGCGGCGATGTCTCATGTCGTAGGCGCGACATCAGTGCGACTATTGCACTGATGTCGCGTGCTTACTGGGCACAGTCTTAAAATATTACAGTGGTACCCCGATATACGAGTTTCATTCGTTTCGTAACCATGCTCGTATCTCAAAGCCGTTTTTCCCATATAATTGAAATGTCTAACTAGCCAAAATATTTTTCTAGTAGGAAAATCAATGTTACAACTGACGATTTTTTTCAAAATTTTATTTTGTTAATAACATTTTTCGAAGAAACCTTTACTCGTTCAAAGTTCGAATCTACAATTTTGCTCGTATGTCGAAGCAAAGAAACGAAATTTTGGCAGCTTGTATCTCGAAACACTCGTATGTCGGGGTCCCACTGTAGTAGTTCAATTATAAAAATTCTAAAATTACGAAATTTCAAAATTTATCGTCCCAAATTTTAAAAGTTACTAAATCTCATTCTTATTGAATAAGTTAATTATTCAGAAGGCAAAGTGCCACTTGCACTTAGTTTAGTTTCTCTAAAATACTTTAAAAAATAAATTAATTATATTAAAATAGAAAAATAATTAAATATTAAAACTGGCAAAATGCCACTCACAACCAGTTTTAGTTTCTCTTTAAAATTTTGTGAAAAAAATAATATTAAAGCATAAAAATTATAAAATAGTAAATCTTATATGTAAAAATTTTAGAAAAAAGATTCTAACAAAACAAATACAAAGAAATAAATAAAAATTTTGTATTCAAATTATATTCCTTTTTATTAACTTCCCGTAGGGTAAGTTATTGTAATGGGCCGAAAATCGGAATTGAAAATTTTTACATTTCTCGACGTTTTGAAGGTTTCTGAACGTTTTGGCATACCTCAGAAAAAATGGATGTGTGTGTGTGTGTGTGTGTGTGTGTGTATGCATGGATACAAATTTTCGCCCACGTTTTCGGGCGTACGGATCAACCGATTTGAATGGTTTAATTTGATGTGCTGATTAGTTTTTGGGAAAGGCAGGTCTAGCAGTTACGGAGATAAGGAGCAAAGAGTGCAGAAAATAGAAATCGAGTTTCTGAGAGAACGGAGCATCAGATTTGAATGAACTAAAAAACATTCAATTAGTATTGAGTGGGAGAAGGGGTTATCAGTTTTTCGCAAAGGCAGGCTTAGCCATTTCGGAGATACAGAGCTAAATGTACAAAAAATGGCAGTTTTTGAAAGAACTAAGCGTCCGATTCAATTGATTCAAAGAACTTTCTGCTTGTCTTAACAAAATAATTGATTTTGGAAAAAAAAATTTTGTCCCATTTTTTTTTTTTTTTTTTTTTAATTTTTTGAATTTTTTGAAATTCGAAAATAATTCAGATTTTATTTTTAATTCTGACTATAGTTCTAATATACTTTAAACAAATAATTTCAATTTTGTAATTTAGTTTATATAATTCTTATAAATATTAGGCAATGTTACAATATTTATAATAATCTATTTGAAAACATTCAATATTTCTCGAATATTTCGTTACGGTACGGGAAGTTCCAGCAATTTGCCTTAAGGCACGATGCCACCCACCCCACTAGTTTTATTCTCATTTTTAATTACAAGAGCAATTAAAAATTTACATATAAGACTCACTCGTTGAGAAAAAAACTTTTAATATAGGACTGTGGCTGTCATATATGTGTGATTTACAAAATTTTGTTTTCCTAAAAATTTTGGCAAAAAAATTGTTTTCTTTAATACATTAACATTCCTCAATACATTTTAAACTAAATTATCGAATAAATAAGTTACTATGGCCGATGGAAAAAATGTTCTGATATTATCGTGGTCATTAATGTGTTAAAAAAGCAATCTATTTAGAAATATCTCTTCAAATAATTTAATAGTTGTTTATAGTTTTCGCTAAGAAAATAAGTGTAAATAAGTCAATAATTCAATATATAAAAATGTAATTTTTATATTTCAATTACTGATAGTTAACAATTGTAAAATTATCTTACATACTTTAGTTTCCTGACAATTGTAATATCTTATTATATTTTATATTCAACTCGGTTTGCAGTCCATATCACCTCCTCCTCCACTTCCTCGAACACTCTTTGCCTCAGCGATTATACCTTGAGTAGCCTTCTCCAATTCAATCACCTCCGGTGGTTTTTTATAAGTAATTATTAAAGTATTAAATTGATGATTTATTTGAATTCTACTCTGCTCAGGTTTCAATCCTGTCCGTTTCAATTCAGGCACTTCAATTTCTTTGTAATATTTTTTATTAGTTGTTCGAACAATGATACGATCTTTATTTGCATCTGCTGAAACAGCGTATGTGCCTAATGGATAAGGTAGATTTCTGATTCTCCATTCTATATTTATTCGAGTCATACGTTTTAAAATAGTGGGTTCGGTATTGCTTTCTACTATTCCTGTGGTGTCGGGGGCTTGAATTTGTTGTGGTAAGGGTTCTCCTAGTTCTATGACCCATTTGCCTTGACCGCCTAGTTCAGTGTTTTTTTTCCAAGCTCTTCTAGATAAGACGTTGGTTTCGGTGTTATATTCTTCGACCATTTCTCTGCCATCATTGAATTTGTAATGTATTTTTTTGACTTTATCTTGGATCATGGAAGATTTTTCAGCTTTTCTAAGCAAAGAGAGCCATTCGTGCTGATGTGCCATGTTGCATACTACTACAATTGTGAAAAATCAAATATAATAGTTCTAATTTTTGTAACTAACATAATAATTAAACCATCATAGTTTAAAATAATAAAATAAATTGATATCATAAAGAGAATATCTTGCTGGCTAAAATATGTAACATATATTTTTAAATTGAAGAGTTTTTTTTTAACTTTAATTTTAGTTACAATTGCTATTAAACCATTAAACAAAAAAAAAGAATAATGGTTTTATATTAAATGCCACTCAAATTATGCAAGATAAAAATTAAATATGTATCAGAAACAACGTAAAACCAAAATATGTACATAATAATAAAAATAATATTAATAATAACAAAAACAATAAAAATAAAAACTATGAATAATAATGTAATTGAAAAAGTGAAAATAATAATAAAAGAACTCTCAAAATCAAATAATATGATAATAATAAAAATAATTATTATGAAAAAATGATTAATTGTTGTAGTTTATCAATATTTGTACGCAATAGACATAGTTAGCAATGAATATAATACTGAAAAGTAATATAACAAAAATAATGTATATAAAATCTTCTTCGAATAAAATTTAAAGAAAAACTCCAATGTCTAATATCCGCTGATAATAGCATAAAATATTCTGTCGAAACATTTAGAAAATCAAAGATTATTTTATAGATCTCTGCCTTTTCATTTGATGTTTTACCTTAGAATAACTTATTCATTTATCTCAACATCAAATGAATTTTAAATCAAGATTAAAGTGAAAATATTAAATTAATAAAGTACTGAAGAGCATTATAACAAAAGTAGTGTGAAGTAAATACAAAATATTTTTGCAAAAGAATTTGTATCTTCAAACAAGGTTGAGACAATATAAATTGCAGTAAAACTCCAATGTCTAATATATACATTGATAATTGCATAAAATATTATGTCAAAAAATTTAAAAAAAACTTTTCTTTGCCTTGTATTTGGTATTTTGCCTTCAAAAAACTTAATCACATATTTCTATACATAGCATGCATAAAAATATTCATCATTTGTTATAATTGTTACTTTTTTATTTTTATCTTCAATTATTTCTATTCATAATTTTTTATTTATATTATTATTATTATTATTGTTATTATTTGATATATCGCCTTAGAGAAACTTATTCATAAATCTCAAGATTAAAATTTACTATTCTAACATAAAAATGATACAGTTTTAATTTTAAACAGAAGTGAAGTACAAATATTAATCAATATTGAAAATAACTTGTTTTAAAAACAAAATATAGCTATTTTAAGTATTAAATTAAATAAAAAGCAATATCTTAGCAATATAAAACTGAAATCTCTCAAATATTTTGATTTCTAATGGCTACTAACCTAATATTCTTCTGGTGTCTTGAGATATTTAACTTAAATACAAAAGAAGACATACAAATTTGAATGTTAACTTGAACAAATTAATCCTCGTTTGATCAATAATTCATAACTCGTACTTGATAAATTTATTGCATAGAACAAAACTTATTTTAGTTACCAGTCGTATAATAAAATGAAAATAACTAAATTGACTTTCAAACACAAAATAGCTATTTTGAGTATTAAATAAAATAAAAAGTAATATACACTGAAGTTTCATTTCTAACAGCTATAGATACTAACCTAATATTGTTCTGGTATCGAGAAATCTTCAACTTGAATTAAAAAGAACCTCAATATCAACTTCCAACAAATTAATCCGTTTGATCAATAATTCATAACTCGTTCTTGAACAATCTATTGGACAGAATAAAACTTGTTTTAGTTCGAATAATAAAGTAAAAATAGATAATTAAAATAAAAGTATTAATTAGTATAAGAAATAACTTGTTTCAAATACAAAATAGCTATTTTAAGCATTAAATTAAACAAAAATATCATATATGTACTTAAGTTTTATTTCTAACAGTTATGGCTACTAACATCTGAATATTTTTCTGGAGTCGAGAAATCTTTAACTTGAATTAAAAAGAACTTACAAAAACCTCAATATTAAATTCCAACAAATTAATCCTTGTTTGATAAATAATTCATAACTCGTTCTTGAATAGAACAAAATTTGTTGCACAAAACAAAACTTGTTTTAGTTACCGGTCGAATAATACAGTAAAAATAGATCATTAGAATAAAAGCATTATTTAATATAGGAAATAACTTGTTCAAATACAAAATAGCTATTTTAAGCATTAAATTAAATAAAAATATCATATGTACATAAGTTTTATTTCTAACAGTTATGGCTACTAACTTCTAAATATTTTTCTGGTGCAGTAAAATCTTTAACTTGAATTATAAAGAACCTCAATATTAACTTCCAACAAATTAATTCTCGTTTGATCAATAATTCATAACTCGTTCTTGAACAATCTATTGTACAGAACAAAACTTGTTTTAGTTACCGGTCGAATAATAAAGTGAAAAATAGATAATTAAACTGAAAATATTAATTAATGTAGGAAATTATTTCTTTTTAGATACACAAAATAGCTATTTTGAGTATTAGATTGAATAAAAAGCATACCCTCAAGTTTTATTTCTAACAGAAATGGCTACTAACCTCTAAATATTTTCCTTGTGTCTTGTTTTGACTTGAATTCAAAAGACGTCTCACAAATATCAAAATTAACTTCAACAATTTATTCCTCGTTTGATCAATATTTTATTAACTCGTTCTTCAACAACTATTGCACAAAACAAAACTTGTTTTAGTTACCGGCCAAATTATTAAAAATGAGAAACTGTCAATAAACATAACCTAATTTACGTTTGAGGGTCGAATGTCGCCTGTCATTTTCTACAAGAGATCAACAATGTGATAAAGAAACTGATATGACAAAAGAAATGAAAAGATGGATGAACATAAAATGGCGATTCTAGTAAAATTATGAAATTTAAGTTAAAATTAACACGAAACCGGTATTTTTATAATCTCACCGAACCCGTTTCTCCGCAAAGCCAAAGTAATTTATTAAGTGGACCGATAATTTTAATTAAATTATTCATACGGTTTTTTACCAAGTCGACTCGATTTGCTGTAATGTTGACATTGACTTGTCACAACCGAAATGTTTATGAATTTCAGGAAAATTATAGAATATACAGTAATTTAAAATTAAAAACAATTAGTTCAAAGATAAAATACAACTATTTCCACTAACCTCTAAATACCAAAGAATGAATAATATAAAAGTTGAAATAAGTTTGGAAAATGATGTCGATTCTAATGCACAAAGTCATTCAAGCAGAGTTGAAGAAATTCAACCCTTAGATTTTGCAACTTTGACACAATTTGATGAAAAAGTTGAACATGTACAATACACCAAACTGCCTTTTATATTACAAGAATTTTACACTGTCGTGAGACAGGATGGATTCAAAATATCAGCACAATGTAAAAACTGCCCAAATAAAATTATACAAGGAAATACTACTTCCACTGGTAATTTCTTATCACACTATAAGGTAATGGATTTATATAAATTCTACTTTGGCAATCACAAAATTATTTCATTAATGACTAAATTATATACTGTTATAGCGACTGCATCCAAATATTTTAGCATTATCTCCTACAATCAATTCAGCATCTCGGTCACGAGCTAAACAAAAACTGAATTGTTACAATTCATTGCCAAATAAAGTTCCTAAATTATATAAACTGCCAGATTCTATGATAAGTCAGGTAAAATATAAACTAAAAGTGTATAAACAATGTAAATTATGCTAAACTCTCTAGATTTATATAAAATATAAAGAAAAGCACAAACTAAACAATCTGATAAGAGAATTTACTGTTACTTTGATTTAAGAGTTAAAAAGTTAACTTTAAACAGAGAAAAAACACTTATATTTGTATATTAATTATAAATTGTATAAAATCATCAATCTAAAACTAAAAAAAAGTTCCGGCTTGCTGATGCTGATTTTATATTCATATATAAAGCTTTATTACCAATATAAAATATTCAAAATAAAAAGTTTATTAATGACTTTTTCCACCAATTATTATTCATCATCCTCCTCCAAATTTTCAGGAAAACTCGGTTGAAACACAGTTACTAAATAGCAATGTAAATGCAACTTATAAAGTCAATGATACGGTAAATTGTTGTTAATTTCTTACAGGTTCCACAATAGATAACTAATAACTTAAAATGAATTATTCTATATTTTACAGTTTCAATATTTATCTGGTTTCGGATCAGAGTTTCAATCCGAGGATTCAAGATGTCCTGGTGCCTTACCAGTTGGACAAAATACACCACAAAAATGTGCTTATGGGTTATATGCCGAGCAATTGTCTGGAACTGCATTTACTGTGCCCAGAATTGAAAATAGGAGATCTTGGTTATATAGGTATATAGAAAAGTAATAATGTTGATATTATAATATTTTTTAATGATTGAAAGAAATCTATTTTGATATTTAGAATAAGACCGTCTGTTATGCATAAACCTTTCTCAAAATTCAACGGATCTCCCCATCTTACCCATAATTGGGATGAATTGGAACCAAACCCCAACCAGGTAAATATACATTTACATATGTATATATTACATATTATTATATATATATATATATATATATATATATATAAATACAATGAAATGCTTTTGGTCAGTCATCCAATTTTAAAAAGAATTTAATGTGAGGAAACTCATTGATATAAAATTTCATGCATTTCGAGTCTTGGTTTAATCCATCTTCAATGCTACATTAAAAAATTTTTAATATAGTTAAAAATTATTGACATATTTTTGAAACAATTATGATAATGAATGTTAAAAATAATACAGAAATATAACCCAAAAAGATTTATGACATGAAATTTAATGTTAAAATATGGGGAGATAAAAACAGTAAATATAAAAAAACATGTAGTGACTTATCATGCAAATAATTTAAACAAAACACAAAAAATGTGAAGCACATAATTAGACCATTTTTTTTTTTTAATATTAAATAAAATAAACTCAAATTTACTTCATTTTTTTCTTTTAAATTTCTTTACTTCAAGAAATATTAACTTTAAAAATTAGCTCAAATGTTCTTTATTATATACTTTTAATAGTAATTTTTTGTTGTTCTGTGTGTATATATTAATTCGTGCTTCTCACATTTTGAGTTTTGTTTGAATTATTTGTAATTCGTAGCACTGAAGATGGGTAAAACCAAGACTAGAAATGTATGTTATTCTAATAAAGACTTTCTTCTTCATTAAGTTTTTTTTAATTTTATGATTGATGCCCAAAATCATTTTATTGTATCTTTCACCATCTGAAAAGACCTCATACTTGTTCAGCGTTGGAAACATATTTTTAAAATGTTAATTTGCATCCAATTGGTCAAAATAAAAAGTACATTTCAATGCCTTATGTGTGTTATCATTCAGCATGTTAACCAAGTTCTAAAAAATGTTTGAAGAAGTTTATAAAAGTTACAAAAATTGCTGAATAGTATAACTTTTTTTTTTCGTACAGCTTTAGCTGCATAGAGACGATATATCGAAGCGCGTAAGCGCCGCGTCGTCTTCTAACGGACAAACGATGTTACAAAACGTATGTCTACTGATCATTTTTGACCGCCAAATGGCATTTTTTTTTTACTTTTTTCACTAGATCGCCGAAACCGCTAGACCTGCCCCCCAAAAATTTAATCAGTTCTTCATCTTGTCAATACAAGTAAAATGTTTTTTGAATTATTAAAATCGGACGCTCCGTTCTCTTAAAATCTGAGTTATCGTTTTTGGCACTTTCTGCCCCGTATCTTCGAAACGGCTAGACTTGCCTTTATCAAAAACTAATCAGCACGTCTCCTCATCAATAGGAATCGAATGTTTTTTGAATAAATAAAATCGATTGAACGGTGTTCCCAAAATCGTCAACGAAAATTTGTATCCGCACACACACACACATACATCCATTTTTCCTAAGGTATGCCAAAATATTCAGAAACCTCTAGAACGTAAAGATATGTAAAAAAATTTATTTTCGATTTTTTTGCGATTATTATAACTTGCCCTACGGGAATTGCATTTTTATCCTGGTTGCAAATTTCAATATGAAATGTATAGATTTATTATTCAAAAATAATTTTATAGTTGCGCTGGAAACCGTTCGACTTACCTGTAAATAAACAAGTTGATTTTACTTCCGGCCTGCACACTGTTTGCGGAGCAGGAAGCCCTCGTGAAAGACATGGACTTGCTGTACACATTTATGCATGTAACACCAGTATGAAGGACAGTGCTTTCTACAACAGCGATGGAGATTTCCTTATTGGTAACTAAAAAATACTGTAAAATATACAAATAGTAAAAATAATCGGATTATTTATATTTTCAGTTCCACAGCAAGGCACACTTACCATAAAGACTGAATTTGGGTATATGTCCGTGGCACCGAATGAAATCTGTGTTATCCAACAGGGCATGCGGTTTGCTGTTGAGGTTGAAGGTCCTTCTCGTGGTTACATTTTAGAAGTTTATAATAATCATTTTAGACTTCCTGATTTGGGGCCGATTGGCGCTAACGGTTTAGCTAATCCTCGCGATTTTTTGGTACCTACAGCACATTTTGAGGATAGAGAAGTTCCAACTGGTAAATGATAATGGATTAATTGTAGTACATAGTTGTTTAAATGTTTAATCATGTTTTTATTGCAGGATTCCATATTGTAAACAAGTTCCAGGGCAGTCTTTTTGTGTGCTCACAAGATCATAGTTGTTTTGATGTAGTCGCTTGGCATGGAAATTATACACCATATAAATATGACTTGAGTTTGTTTTGTGTTATTAATTCTGTTTCGTTTGATCACATTGTAAGTCTTAAAATTATACGGTTGCAAATAAAACATACAGATTTTAAAAATTTTACTATTGTAGGATCCTTCAATATTTACTGTTTTGACTTGTCCATCTGCAAAACTTGGAACAGCTATTGCTGATTTTGTAATATTTCCTCCTCGCTGGTCCGTCCAAGAACACACTTTCAGACCACCTTATTATCACCGTATGTTCCCAAAATACATTATGCAATCAGACTACCCTGCTCTTACTTTATCTAAATCTTACAGGTAATTGCATGAGTGAATTCATGGGGCTGATCAAAGGAAGATATGAAGCTAAAGAGGCAGGTTTTGTAGCTGGAGGAGCAACCTTACATTCAATGATGACACCACATGGTCCTGATGCTCAATGTTTCCAACAAGGTTCAAATGCAACTTTGGTGCCACAGAGGGTTGCAGATAACACCCAGGTAAAAATACAACTTAAGACATTACATTTTCAGGTTTTAATACTTTTATTTTTTTCAGTCCTTTATGTTTGAAAGCTCCCTAAGTATGGCAATCACCAAATGGGGCCAAGTTACTTGCGACAAGTTGGATGAAGATTACTTCAAGTGCTGGCAGGGGCTACAAAAGCACTTTCCATTCGCCAAAGAACAATGAGAATTTATTAGAATAGATTAATGGCAATTTTTTTTGTTTTTTTTTTTTTGTTTGAACATAGTTTTGATATTTTATCACTTAAGTAGAAATGTGCAATAAAATAATTTTGTAAATATAAATTTTCTAATAGATGTTAAATACAAATTTTATTATGAAAAACTTACGTAATTAAATAATGAATACATAGCTTAAATATATATGGATGTGGTTGATTGATGTAACGATAAAATAACAACTAAAATAACAAAAATAAAACCATTAAAATAGTTATGGCGCAGCGGGTTCCAATTCATTAGCTGGTGTTTCTGGTTCTTCATCATTGTAGATATTTTCAGCCATTTGCCAAACCTAAATAAAAAATTAAAAGTAATCCAAACTTTTTAAAACCGATAAATAGATAATAAAACAAACCTGCATGATGTTATCTTCAGAAACCGAACAAATAACCCATGGCTCATTGGGATTCCAGGAGAAATCTGAAATTTTAGCTGTGTGACCACCGTGAATGAACAGGAGTTCTGGTGGACCATCTTCAGCATCTTCGTTGCTTTGCTCTTCACCAATTTTGCTCAAATCCCAAACATGCAATCTATAAAATAGAAAATTCAATTATCAATAATTAGTAAATTGATTAAGTGTTAAATTCTAATAAGAACATCTAATAATTCATAATTTATTTACCTGCGATCAGTTCCACTTGAAGCAAGAATAGTTTCATTATGAGGAGACCATTGTACTTGGAAAATTTCATCCTTATGCGACTCGAAGGAGTGCAATTTTAATTTAAGGTTTCTTAAATCCCACAGGGCCACCTATTAAAAGAGTAATTATTAGAATTATGAAATTAACAATTTCATTCAAAAATTTATTACATCATTTATTATGAACTTACAGTTTTGTCCGCACTGCCAGTGGCTAATATAAACTCGGAGTATGGATTAAATGATAAACAATTTACTTCAGCAGTGTGGGCATCCACAGTATGCGAAGGCTTCGAAGTATTGTTACATCTGCAAAGTATTTTATTTATGTAAACAAAAGCATTGTATGGCCATACTAATTAAAATTAGTTTTATAATCAATTCTAGAACTTGAATTAGTTAAAAGTTTTAAATTAACACAAGAAATATGATTAAAACAAACCTTGTATCCCAAATCATTAGTTTTTGATCATCAGCAACAGAACCAAACAAAGACTCGTGTAGTAAATGCCATGCAACGTCTTCTACAACAGCAGTATGACCAGTAAAGATATTTTTAGCATCAATCAACCGATGTTCTTTCGGAGTGGCATTAATATCCCACAAGCATATTGTATGATCATCACTGAAAATAATTTAAATTATTATTCACTTATATTCTAAAGAGCTAGGTTGTTGAAATAAAGTTGTATTCCAATGTTTTTACCTTGCCGACAGTAAATATCCATTAAGATTAGGATTCCAAGAAAGACCATAGCCTTCCTTTTGATGTCCCCTCAGCCTCAAGTCTGGATGGCATTCTCCATTCAATTCCGGTTTACTGGGATGTTTGGTATAATCGAATACCAACACGTCACTGCTTGGTGTTTTTGTAGCAATGACACAAGGATTTTGGGGCATGTATCTAGCACGATTGACTTCACCTTCATGATTTATCTTAATTTCTATTTCAATTTTACCAGAAACTGAACCGAAACCACCAAATTCTAAATGGTAAATGACACATTAGATACTATAACAAAGGGTAAAATAATTTATGAAGTAAATAATTTGTTACCTCCTTTTTCATTATCATAATGACTAGCATCAAATTGGGCATCTTCGTTTGGCAATTGAACACTGGCAATGAGGAGATGATTTTGTTCATCTGAGGTGTGAGTGCCAAGTATCAATCTAATAAAAAACGGCAAATTTAAATTTTGGCACTTACTGTTAATACAAACCAAGTAAAATAAATTTACCTGTGAACAGAATAATCCTTCCCTTCAGGTCTTGTAACGTCTGGTAACCACTGAGCTGTAAGGGATGGCCATTCCAATGCATGCGTCATTACCAAATCGTACAAAAAGGGAGTATTTTTTTTCCATATTTTATATTCTTCGTTTATTACGCGTTCCTCAACCGCGTCATCAAACGTTTCTGGAAAAGTAACAACACGTCAAATGATAAAATAAATACACTCAAAGGTTGAATTATTTTGTAATTTTATGAAACTTACCACCGTCTCCTCTGTCTCCCATGTTTAATAAACGAGAAATGTTAACAAATACTCGAGATATGATAAATTGCTACTCGCAGCTGAACGAAGCCTACCGCTGCCAGATAATGCCGCCAAATTAATGCCGCAACAAACAAAATTACAAACATAAAAAAATAAACAGCGGATGCATTGCACAAATAATTAATCTGAAGTTGGATTAAGTAACTTCACTGCAAAAAAACACCATTAAAATATAAAAAGGCGCTATTTTTGAATATCAAAATTTAAAGGTATAAAATTGCAACTTGAAGGTATAAAAATGCAACATTTATCTATTTATATAATATCTATATTCAATGTAGAAAGACTGTACTGAATAAAATGTGTTGAATAAAATAAACAATATTTAGAAAAAAAAACTGTGTTGTATTAAATAAGTGTTTTTTTATTGCAATACTCGTTTTTTAAACTACAGTAAATTTTGTCCTTTACTAAGATAGCAATATACATTTATTATTGTCTTTTATAGCATCATTATATAAATATCAAACATTGCATAAGTATGAAAATGCATATAATAAATTCCTCATTCATCTTTCATCTATTTGAAAATTGGCGCAAAATATAGTACTCGAGTTCGTCGTACGAACCCCATAAAATGACACATTAATTTTACCACATCAAATTTTAACAAAAACTTTATATTTTGATTTTGTAATTATTTTAAATATGTATAAAGATTACTACATTTTCTCCAGATGTGAATTTTAGAAATAAATATGATAGAAACAAATGAGAAAGTTAACGCCGTGACAGATGATCTGGCTGCAAGAAGGGAAGCAAGGCGAAGAAAAATTTTAGAAAACTCACAAACTAGATTAAATAAAATTTTAGGCGTCACTGGAAAAAATACTTTAGGTAAAACCAACAATTAAACAAATATTTATGTTTGAAAAATGCATTATTTTGATATACATTTTAGATAATTCTGTACCAGAACAAAATTTGGTTTATGAATCTGTATTTGGAATTCCTCAATCTTATGAAACAAGACCTTTGCCAACTAGGACAACAACAAATGATGTACCAGAAGAATCTTTATTAGATAGTTTATGCTCTGATTCCGATAATGTACCTGATCGTCCTATAACCGCATTTGAAAAATTCTTAGCAACTAAAGTGCACATTTTATTGCTGTCGATCTTAACTTACATGTCAATATATTCTGAAATACTTATAATTCCTGTTTTCATTCCTTTTATATTAAGTGAAATATCAGAAGTTATACTTTTTCATAGACAAACAGAAAAACCGGGTCTTTTATATTTATTATTTCTAAATAAAGTATCTAAAACAAAAATTAATACCATAGTAAATGTATTTCATATTATTAACAAAATATGTAACGACTTTGCTATATATATGTTGACATTTATCCTAATGCATGCTTTCATTTCATTATTTGATGATACATGACATAAAAATTAAATAAAATTGGATGATAAAATAAAATTTAAAATTTAAAAAAATCTTTGATTTTTATAAATCCTTCGTTAAGTTTATTTTTCACAGATGTTTCCTTATTTGTTTCTAAATTTACGTTTGCTTCTTTCTTTTCAACATTTTTTTCAAAATCCTTTTCATTCTGTGTAAGTACTACTTTATCTTCAAATTGTTTTGTTTCATTCTCTCGTGTGCCACAGCCTATATTGTCTTCTGTTTGTTGTGATTTGACACACATTTTATCTTCTACTTTTTTAACATAACTTTGATTTGGTTCTGCATTTGTACTTGGCTTTGGTATTTCCTCTACACTATCCTTTTTATTATCAATAAATTCTGAAACTTGACCTGAACTAAATAAAGAAGACACATCTAGATTGTGGCACGCCTCATCCTATGCTGAACTTTTAGGAGGTTGCCTAGTGGCGAAATGGGAAGGATTTTGTGGTGGCTTGATCAAAGCTTTTCTTCGGACCATATTAATATGCCCTTGCCTGATCATTGATTCCTCCCATTCTGAAAGCTTTTTCCTAAAACAAGTAATAACTATTAACAACTGATCATTATTATAAAGATATATATTGTATCTTACGTATATTCATCAAGATCTTCTTTAGCTTTCATCAGAATTTTAGCTTTTACATTTGGATCTAATTTTATCCATAATTCACCGGCTTTGACTTGCCATTCTCTGAAACTCAAATTGCCTCTGTGAATAGGTTCTTGCGCTTTCATAAAACTTATAAATGATGATATGGGCTTTTTGGGTTTTCCTAATTCACGTTTTTGCTGAAAAAATAAATCCAATAAATATAATATAATAGAAATGATATACTAAAATCAAATAGAGAAATTTAATATATATATACATATATATCTATATAAAAATGAAAATAAGAAAAATAAATGAGTGGATTATATAACAAAATATTAGAAATGTTAAAAAATTAAAAAGTTTTAAGAAAAGGTTACGGAAAAAACAGAATTACCTGTATGATTGATTATATACTAAAACTTTTTCATTAAAAAAGATTACTATATTATTATTTCGTCAATTTCTAATACAGCTTATGCTAAGACCGTAAATGAATCACAAAGGCAGGACATCAAATAGGATATTAAAAAGTATAGGATATACTCATAACACAAAATAATGTATTAAACTATCAAAATTCAATCTTATCTTTTACAATTACCTTTTTCAAATCTCGTTTCAATTTCTCCTCCTGTTGATTAGCTTTGAATTGTTTTATGTCCTCTTTCTGTTCTTCTGTCAGATTTTTATCATATTCGACCTTTTGTTTAATATAAACCAATTGATCTTTTTTGTATTCTTCTTCTAATTTACTCTTGACGTGTGGTTCTGCTTTTTCCCATTTGATACTAGCTAATTTAGATATGTCCATTGTAGAAGCTGTTGGATTTTCTTTTTTAAGCTGCTCCCGAATTTGGCCAACAAACCTAAAGAAAGGCGTCAAAGGCCGCTTCGGTTTTTCAGCATAACCTAACTTTTCTTCTATACTTTTCTTTGCATAATCGGCATTTTGAAAGAATAATGGAAAACCAAGGCTAGATATAATGAAAAACAAACTTGTAGTATATATTAAATAGTTAAATATCATTTACTAGGTGTGGTAACTTACTTTCTTGCTATTAATCCACGTTGGGTAGTGTTAAATAATGTATAAAAATTCAACATGATGGATTTGGTTTTCATACTGGCCTTAATCCTAATTCTTAGCTCATTCCCTGTGTTATATAAAAATGGTTTATCATTAATTAATGTCTTTATGGCACTGAAATCACAGCGAAATGTAATGCAAAATATTTGCCTCAAACAGTATTTGTTTTCTTTATTTCCGAGATGATTGACATAGTTAAATTTATCCCGATAGATGGCGACAGCAGTACACGAAAATGATTTTATATTCAAATGAAAGCGGTTATTTTGAATGTTCAAATTGATTCAAATTAAATACTTTAAATTGCGCAAAGTATTAAGCATAAATATGCTTAATGCTATTTTTGTCAATATATTTTTTAAATTCCTGTTATCTATATATCTATATACCAATATATTGAATTGAATAAACAGCGAATGCGTCAAATGAAGAATTTTTTTATTTTTCCAACTATTTTTGTTTCCTACAATAGTATCATGTAATTGTTGCGTTAGTTGTATTTGTTAATATGTGCTTTCGCCTGGTTTGGCACATATAAGATTTTTCATTTTATTGTTACAATTTTAATCTCTAAAAAATGTTTTCCTTATATTGTACATTCTCTTTTAGCTAAATGATGAGACACATTTAATATCGAAACGTATTAAAAAATTTAAAATAAAAAATTTCTTCATTCAATGCATTGGCTATTTATTCAATTCAACATGTCTCAATGTCGAACAAAAAATCCTGGAGATACAAATAAATGTATTTACCATAGTTTTTCTGAAGAGCAAATACATATTTATGATTTTATATTTCTGAAGTTAGTTCTTAAAAAAATATTATATAAATTGTCATTTATAATTATTCTTGCATTCAACGAATAAGGGATGCATTCTTCTATAACTGCTAAAACCAAATAAAAAAATAATTATATCAAACCTTTAGAAATTGAAAGACATACATTTTTACCCTAACGTGTGCAAATGTATAAAGAAGTTTTTATATTATCTATACAGTTTACACATATTATTTTTTATGATTTAAATTTTCTGATCTAAAACTTCTTTTTATCATAAAAAAATATAATTTTTCATTTATATTATTCTTTATTTCGAGGATATGGGATGTTACATTTTTCATGATTTTTGAAGTATTGAAAGTAAAATTGTTTTAAAATTTAAAACTCACTGAAAATGTGTATTGCTGCAAGAATATTGAAGAACTAAATACAAATATACACATGAATGATTCAAAATATTATAAATCATAACTTTAAATGAATGTACAACTTTAATCCTTAGAGAGTGCCTATTTTAAAATATTACCAATTACTGGTATATATATATAATATATATATACATATATATATATATATAATGAATGAAACATATATTTTTCCAAGTTTATATTTTGAATAGTATTATACAATAAATTTATAATATTAGTATACTGTGTATGTATCTACAAACTAAATATACAATAAAACTATTTTACAAATATAATCCTTATCGACCTAATATCACATTATCATTTAGATTCAAAAATTCAATACTTATATTTATTTTGCATTAAAACTATGATTTCTTTATAATAAATATTTTATTTTATTTACAATTATAATATATAATTTTAGATAATCATTTCTTGATTTAAACTGAAAATATTTGAATATATATAATGAATAGTACGTAAATATAAAATCTATAAACAAATATAAATATTGAAGTTGTAATATATAGTAAAAACTAATAATTTATTGTAGTACATATTAAAATTATGAATCTACTAAAACGTAGATAAATTTGTAAATTAATATTCAATCAATTATTATTTCTACAAATACTAATATTTGTAAAGACACTTTGATTACAGACTGTTTTAAGCTCTGATTTGTTTTGTTATTTTAATTTATTTATGCTAAACTAAACTTACTAATTAAGATCAGACTGATTGATTTAGTTCAGAAAAATTACTCCTATTTTGAATTTTATCATTCTGGCATATTATTAAAAATATATGAATATAAAAATACGAAGTTTATGATTTTTATGATCTTCAAATTGAAAAGAAAATGTATAAGAAATATGGATATCATAAACCATTCATTCTGAAAGCGGTGTAAGTCCACATTTGTCCACAAAAAAGAAGCAATTATGTAATTAGTGCTTAAGGGGCACAACTAGTATGAAATTTCGAAAAAATCGATTTTTGTTTTTTTTCATATTTCGGTAGAAAACACCTTTCAAAATAATATATAAAAATTTCAAATCGATATCAAAAATAGTTTTTGAGTAACAGCCATTTAAAAAGTATATATATATAGTATATAGTGCAATGATCATTTTATCTTTAAACGCGTTTTTCTCGAAACAGCATTTACCGAATTTGCTGCAGCGATTACTCAAAAACTAATGATCCGATCACTATCAATTTTTTTTTACATGTTCTATATATAGTCCTCCGTAAAATGGACTATCGATTTTTTGATCGGATCAAAAATCGAATTTTGGCAGTCGAAAAACGACCAAAATTTTGGGTAAAATTCGACTTTTTTTTAAAAAAAAACGCCGCCATTTTGTCAATTTTTGATTTATTTTTTTCATCGTAGTTCATTTTACAGACAATATTATCTAGTTTAACGAGATTTTTTTTTTGATTTCATCCACGTAGAAGGCCGGAATCACTGCAGCAGTTAAGGGCCTTTTTTTGTCGCGCCGTTGGAAATCGACGATAACTTAAAAAATACTTAATTTTTTTCTTCAAAAATTTTACTATGTATTCTTAAAACATGTATAAATATATTCCTAAAATTTTGAAATGATTGATAAATTAGTTTTTTTAATATAAATTCCCAAAAATCACCTTTTTTTTAGGCGGTTAGTTGTGCCCCTTAATTTTGAATTATTTAATGTAATTCGAGTCTAATTTTGAATCTACACTTTCAAAGTAAACGGTCCAATTATTATCACAAACTTTGTATAGAGTAGTTCGGTGCAGGTTCACTGATTTTTCAGATTATTGAAATAAAATTTAAAAGATTATTATTAATCTACTATTTAGTAATGTACTTTACACATATAAATTCTTTTCCTTTTACAAAACCGTTTCGCCTCCGATGCTAAGCTGCCTCGCCTTCTTCGATATCATGGAATGGTTGGAGCAAGTGTGTGCAGGATGATGTTTGTTGAAATAGTGATGTGGAGCATGAGGCTGAGCCACGACACATTTGATGGGCGCTGGTTTGTATACCGCCGGTGCCACATTTCCGCAAACACGTCGCCAGGCGTCCAGAGCTCGAGGGGCGAGCGACCAGGCCGCAATCGCTGCACAACCAGCCAGAGAACAGAGAGAACGGAGCAGGAATGGCCAGAGGGGCGCACGAGGCAGGGTGCTCGGTTGAATTGTTGGACGGGGTGCTGAGAGCCAATCTTCACGCCTGGGGAAAAAAAATTATGCTTAATTGATAAAATGTAAGTATTGTTGATTACAAATTTTGTAACAAGAGGTAGATCTAAAATCTTGTAAAAATGATATTTTTTCTAACACAAATATGTGATTGACATGGCCCTATATTAAATTTTTTTTTTCGACAAATGGCCTATGTCAGACATGGATCATATAGATTTTTGTAGCGTCAGACACATATGTCTTACGTGGCGATTTACGTGTTATATTTAACTTCCCGAAGGAGAAGTTTATGTTTTCATAAAAAAATCCGATTCGCTAATTTTATGTTTTCTCGACGTTTCAAGCTATTCTGAAACGAATGAGACCAACATTTGGAAAAAGTATGTGTGTGTGTGCATCAACAGATTTTTTGCCGTAAATCTACGTTTTCTCCCAAACGGCTGGACCGAATCCAAAAATTTAAAAGCCATTCGATATATCTTGATGAGTACTAGCGTTTTCTTAGTTTTTTGCGACGATCGGCCGAGCCGTTTCTTTGTAAATAGCAGAAAAGTGAAATTTTTTTCTTCCACCTTTTAGCCCGCAATTCTTAATCGATTATGAAAATTCAAAAACCGTTCGAAAGATATTGATTGGGAATCGTGCTGATTAGTTTTTGGTAGAGATCGGCCGGGCCATTTTCTTGGAAAAAAGTGTTATAAAAAATATTTTTGGCGATTTTTGTTATTATTTTTTTGACTGTAGATACCATAGTCTTCTAGATCATACTAAAATATTATGGGCTTTAGGACAATTGGTTTAGCTTTAAAAATTCGTCAAAGTTTGCAAAACTTGGTATCGCTTTTTTGGCATTTGTCAAAATTAGAACTTTCATCGACGTTTGCTCAAAAACGCCTGAACCGATTTCAGATATTTAAAATAATTTCATGTATCTCGATGAGGATTATCGTTTCTCAAATTTGTGCGACAATCGGCCCAGCCGTTTCTTTGTAATTTGGAAAAAAGTGTTAAATCTTTCGTCCACATTTAAGCTCATACTACCGAACCGATTTTAAAAAATCAAAAACTGTTCGAAAGATATTAGTTGGGAATGATACTGATCAGTTTTAGGTGAAAATCTACCGAGTCGTTTTCTTGTAATTAACTGTTGAAAAAAAAATTTAAGTCGATTTTCATGGAACTTTTTTTGGCGATATATATCATGGTCTTATAGAACTTACTGAAATATTACGGCCTTACGACAAGTAGTTTAATTTTAAAAATTCATCAAAGTTTGAGAAAATGAGTAGTTTTTTTGACGTTTGTTAAAAATAAAATTAGATGATTTACTTGGTATAACGATAGAGTACTTGGTCTTAATGAACATGCTAAACAATTAAAGTCCTACAAAAACTGTCTCAATTATAAAAATTATTAATTTTTGAAAATTTTCTTTTAAAAAATACTCCGAGTTAACGTGTTCGTTCGTTCGTTTTCAATTATGTGTAATAAATCCACTCGAAATACTTATAATCACTCATGAATTAATTTGTTTTTTATTGATTAAGTCGATTATTTACACATTTCGAGAAGTTCATGAAACTTGCCTCAAGGCAAAATACCAATACCAATTAGTCTTTTTTTTGTTTTATTGTACACAACAAACTGTACACACAGTACATTCAGCTACTTTACAGGTATATGATGATCTGATGATATTTTGATTTTGATGAAATTTTGATGATATCAATTTTTGTTGATTACAAATT